TAGTCGAACGCCCACGCGCCATGTGGGCGTGGCGGCCATTGTGTGTGCGTCTAGTTTTTAAGTGCTGCAGCACAAATAAATCACATTGTCGAGAGACGTTTGCTTAGTTTTTTGTCGGGCAAAGGCACAGGTAATGTCTGCGCCTGAGAGTATGCAATAAAGTATTTCCAGCAGACACTTAAAGTGGCAGCGGCTGCAGCTGGAGGCGAAGTCGTTGCCAAGTTGCCGGCGCTAATATTTGATTGCCCAGCGTCCTTCATTAGCATTAACAAGCGCCAAGCTTGTCCAAATATGGCGTCCGCAAGCAGCTGACATATTAATGTGCAGGCTAAGCCAACAACAACAATAACAACGTCATCAGCGTGCGTGTGTGTGGCTTTGTTTGATTACAAAACTCATAAAGTCGCCATGAAATTCAAACAATGCGCTACGTGCATCGAATGCCAACAGCCAGCGGCAACCGCACGGACAATGCCTGGCCGTAGACCCAGCCACGCCCACACGACCGCCACCTTGCATAAACAACATATTCGTTTGACCCAAACGAGTTAGACCCCTGCTGGAGACGTCGCAACGTGCACAGGTAGCGCCCTTTAATACATTTTCATTATTGCAAACCCATTTGCTTGGCAACCGCCGCAAAGGACTTGCCCCAGCCGAGAGCTCCTGCCCGAATGTGTGAAATACAATACAATTCGGGCAATCAAATCAGCCTGGGCAACTTTAAAAAGTATTTTTATTCTTTTCTGAGCAGCTGCTGTGCGCGCGATGCACAAAACGATTTGTCAAAAGTGGTTTTTCACTTGTGGATTATGAATACTTTGCTTAAATTTAGCTGACAGCAGAAAATTATTACACAATGATTAATATTTATTTGTGCTGGCCGCCAAGCAAGGCCCATGCTGTTGCGGGGGATAGGCACTGTCCGAGTCAGTGTCAGAGTCCAACTTCAAGTCCAAGTCCAAGTCCAAGTCCTTTTTCACACAACCAGTGACAACGTGCTGAAGACCTTTACAGATACTCTGCAATCTGTAGTAGACTTTTATGGGGTATTTTGATTAGATTTATACAAAATTTACGAAACTGTAGTTAACTATTTATATTTCTTATAAGTTTTTCTTTAGGCCTACCTTTCACATCTGCATATTTTGCCTGGTCATAAAAGCCTTTAAAATTATTTTTAGTGCAATTTTTTTTAGCTAAAAAATTCGTTGTTCGAAACTCGCTTTTTTATGAGCCTGGAATATTTTTGTCTTTAGCTAATTCAGTTAAAGTTTCGGCTCATGTTCTAAACATTTCCCTATTTCCAACTCTTTTATTTCCCTTATAGCTAAAGAGTAGCTGCCAGTCGCGTCTATTGGCTCAACTCTCTCATTTTTTTGTGCTCAAAAGGCATTTAATTTAGATTTATGCGCCGCACAGCACTGTGACAGGCTGGCTGCCCGTACAAAACATAAACATAGTTACTTTCAGAGCGACTGAAATTATGATATCGTCAGAGCCAGAGTCGGTCCCAGTTCCCGTCCCAGTCTCAGCCCACGAACCAGAATCAACGGCGACCCAGTCATGTCTTAGCCACAACGTTTGCTTTTGCTCGGCTGCTTGTTTGCTCGACCGCTGATAACTTATCGAACAATAAAATAGCCTTAGGCAGTCGCAGCTGACAGACGAGCGCAGGCAGAGGGCAGGGCTTGCTGTTCCATAAGTCGACACAAGGCAAATAAGGATATGCGCAAATAAAATAGCAATAAATCAAAACCTCTGACGATCTGACGATGACGATGACGATGGCGATGTAGCTGGCCCCAGCGATTAAGGCCTCATAGTTGTGATTTCTGATGTCTACTGCCCACTCCCTCGGCATCTGTCACTGCCTCAGTCTCAGCCTCAGCCTCAGCCTCAGCCTCAGCCTCAGCCTCAGCCTCAGCCTCTTCCCCTTCCTCTTCTAATGGTGTTTCAGTCTCTATAAATAAATCGTCTGGGGGTCGAAAGTGATTTTGATTGTTATTTACTTGGCTTGAGCCATGTCTGCGGCCCGTTCCACTTGCTTTTCTAGGTAATTTTCAATTTATGCGGCTCCCCATCTGCGATTTCCTCTGCTGCTGTCCATAATTTATGCCAATTGTCAGCCAAGCTGCATGCATGACAGCCAAAAATCAATGCAGCGGAAGTGCCAGCATCGCCATTTGCACCGCCTGCCAGTGTCAATAAGGAAGCTTCATTATAAATTATCCGGCTGACAAGTAAAGGGGACGGGACGAACGACGAGCGCATAAAAGGACGGCGTGGCCGCAGACTTTAAGCAAAAAGCATTTCCCTTTCGGTTTAACAATAGCTAAAGCTTTCAGCTCTCACACACACAGACACCGGAGATTGTTTCAATCTGCTTAGGCGTCCAGGCGGAGTCAAAGATGTAGTCAAGTATCCTGCCACAAGGCAATCAGGCATGCAACCAACTATTTGATATGCTCCCCCAACAGAGCCCTCACTGATAACTGCTGATGGCCATTAGACATGATTGTTGTCTTAAAAATATTGTATAATTGGGCGGAAGTTGACGTTGGCCAAGCGAAGGCTGCAGTTGCAGTGTGGGTGGCATAAGCCATATAAATCGAAAGCAAACACAAACTCGTTAAGTCAAGGGCTCTAAGTAAATAATGCAGCGCTTGAATAGAGAGCGGACTTGACCACAATTAGATGCGATTAGTTTCTGCAAAATACTCGTTGGAACAGCCATAAATAATCCCTTAATGCTATTAGCATCGTTACATCAGGTAAATCTGACAGCAGAGTGGGACGTCAATTAAGCCAACGCTTCACGTTTTATGGGGGCCACTTGAAAAAATATTAAAAAAGAAATGTTCAAAAGTAAAAATTGGAAGTGCGTAGCAGCAGGCGCACTCGCCTGCTTTATTGGCACCAGTCAGCGGGCGTGGGAGTGGGAGTGGGAGACGCTGCTGGACATTAGGTTTTTGGGCGCTCTTCGGCTGTTCGGCTGGGGCCATTGAGGACAGCGGGCGCCAGACAAGGCCCTGGGCCCAGTTATAGCCAGCATTATGTTCCAGCTTGTACATGATATGGCGTCATTAAATACACATTACCATGCAGCACGCTCAACGGAGAGCGAGCGAGGCTGTGGGCGTGTTGGGGTGGCGCAACGATAAAGGCGAGCGGGCAGCTGGCATACTCGATACAAAAACAGCAATAATAAGCAGCAACAGTCGCTGGAAGCGAGCACCAAGCAACGAGTAGCTATTAAAAACGCCAGAAAAGATACACACCAACACACACACACACCAGGACACGCTGCCACCCACATTCAGTTACAACAAATTACAGCATTTCTAGAGGCAGCAAATCGAGGAGCGCCCGTTCGATGGCCAACGACGGTGTTGAGTTTCAATTGTGCTCGTAAACGTGGCTCCCAATTGGCTCCCAGCGAATAATTCATATAAAACACTTTCGCACCGAGCGCCGCCTTGCCATTAGCATCACGCTGTTACAGCCAGCGCCATGCTTCCTGCTCGCTCACCTGCACCCACACTTCTGTTTCGGTTACGCGCCATGTAACCCCACGATTGCATTTACAGCAAATTATTTATGGCTGCGGCAGACACGAACAGGAAGCGAATATGCGCTGCCAACTTCACGTCTATCAATATTTTATGAAACTCTGTCTGCAGGACAGAGCCCGGACCCAAACCCGAACCCGGACCCTGTCAGGATCTCGCCTCACTCGCAACCGCCACAAACAAGGACGCGGGTACTAGGACAAGGGTATCAGTAGCGGTATCAGCTCACTTGGCCTCCTGCTGCAACCTGCTCTCACTGCTTTCCCTAGTCTCTGTCTCCATCTGTCTCGTCCTGTCCCCGGCTGTCTCGCTCTCTAGTTGCCTGACTGCCTGTCGATATCCGGTTAGATGAGTATCTAAATTGCCTTTACTGTTGATGAATTAGCGCCGGTTGCCGGCATCGCTCTTCATGTGGATGAGGCCAGAACCGTCTGAGCCAGAGCAGGAGCTGCAGCCGTAGCTGGAGCCAGCATGCCTGCGCCCGTTAGATAAGTGCCCTCAATGCCAAAAAGAAAATTTCAATTTGCTTTGAATGATTATATAAATACCAGAGAGTAGGCTGGCAACCGAAGCTGCCGGCCACGGCTCTTTCAAGCTACACAATTTTCAATAATAGTTGCACAAATAGCAAAAGTCTGAATAGAACTCATTTATATGGCACGATAAGATAAGAGGGGAGTGGAGTGGAAGGGAAACGAAATCAAATGTATCCACACAGCAAAAGGAGAAACTTCAAATCTATATGTAGCCTGTATTTCATTAGCACAAATTGAAATACTTTGTGCAGACCGATCGAAGATTGATATATAAAATATTGCTGCAAATGTAACTGGATGTTATAGAAATGCATTAAAAGTGAATGCATCTCAGAAAAGGGTATTGCAAAAGTCTTTTAGAGTAAAGCTTAGAAGGAAAACTTAGATGTATCTAAATAAATATAGTTCTTAACTCATATAAAAGCAGGTGTCAACTGTTTTTTTTAAAGTTACATAAGCTTAAATCATTCTGAAGTAAATAAATATATTTTTAAAATGAATGAAATGAAATCTATTAAATAAGACACTTTATGACATTAATGCTTACAGATAACTTTGGCCAATCTAGAACTCACACATTCACTATCATCACAATCACAACTTTTATATGAACCAATAACAAAACCATTATTTGATAAGAAATTTCAACAATTTTCAAGCGTTGCTTAGTTGTATGTCTAATCATTATAAAATGTCAAGCTAAACTCAACGAAAGGCAACTATTAGCTTTTAAATGAGTTACCAAATAAAGTAGCCTTGCAATTGAAATTTTTATATCTCTAAAAAACACTTTCTTTATATACAATCTACAGTCATAACTTTTGCACAGGACGTTCTGTCCCCTGTATTATATATTCGTTTCTTATTATAACTTCGAGTTTTCAGTCTTTTAGTTTTTGATATTATTTAATAAAAAATAATAAAAAAAATAAAAAAAAGCAGATCTAAATTCGCAGTAATTAGCTCATAGACCTCCCAATATGTTGTCCAAAAAGGAAATTGTTGGGATTATATTGCTTATAACAGCGGTGGGTCTGTCAATCGCCATAGTCTAGGACTTGCTTATCTGTATAACCGACAGCTGATCTGTATACTGAATGCTGCAGTGTTTGGCGGCATCATGCCTATTTCATCGAGCTATGAGCAGTTGGCGCAGCAAACTATAAGTGCGGGCACCGCGTACATTTGTATACTTTATGGACTGAGCACATGGCTGTATGGTTCTCACTACGCGATTCCCAGGCGTGAAATCCGCTATGTGGTTTGTGCTGATGCTATTTATGTATTTATTGTATATATATCGATAATCGACTTGACTTGCTTTTGGTTTGATTCAGCTCATTTCCATGCTGATCGTCCTGATTTTGGCCAACTGCATTGGGCTGTCGACAGTGATCAAGACGCAGTACATGTCCCAGCTGAGTAGTAGTGTAAAGGTAAACGATTTGTATACTCCATTCGAATATGCGTGCCGCACGGTGACCTTGGTGTTTTTTGTGTTAACAATTGTACTGCTGATTGTCGCTCTGATTTTTGTGATTATGATCGCTGTTGCGTTACATAACTTTCCCGACCTGACTATGCAGAATTCTAATGAAACGCTGCCGTAGATGGAAATTCAGCCGGAGCTGCATATTCGAAATTAATTATTTATGTATTTTCATATAGCTCAAGCTTTTAGAAAGCGTACGGCACTACTATTAATACGATATAAACACGCAGTCAGCTCTGAACTCTTGACTGCTCAAACCATAAGAGATCTGTGTCTAGTATGTGTCTTGCACCTTGGTCTATCTACTCGTCTACAGAGAGAAAAGAGAATATTGGTTTTGTTTTTGCTAACTTTGTGTAGTTATTTATCTGTTATCCACTATGGAATTTTGAGATCTGGAATTTGATAGGAGTTACTTAATAGCAATGGAAAACTTTGAAACTAGAAACACAAAGTGCAGTTAGAACTATGTGTAATAGCTTGAGGTAGGGTATTGTGCAATTGGTTGTGCCCGACTGCTTCGCCTTTACTAGCCTTTTTTTGTCTCATACATAATGAAGCACGCAGACAGTGCAATTTTCGTAGCGAGACAAACAAGGTTAAGTTGGAGAATATCAAGTTAAAGGTACCTGAAACTTGCCAGCCAGAAAAGTTAAAGCCAAGTTGCTTTAGGCGTTGGCCAATTACGCAACTGGTCGACTGACTTTTTGGAAAGGGGCGCATCAAATGTGACATTTGGCAGCAGCAGGGCCCACAGTTAAATTTCCAGTTAAGTTATTGCCGCGAGGAAAACTCACTCGAAAGTAATTTCAAATTTAATTGCGTATAATTTAGAGCGTCGAAATGTTTGCGTGCGTTTAATTAACTGAAAAATAAAAAAAACAAAACAACAACACAAGCTAAATAAATAAAATGCCCAAATGACGGAAAATGAGCAGCAGCAGCAGCAACAACAACAGCTGCGAAATGCTGAATGTTAAATGCCAACTAATTAAATTTCGGGCATGCCATGACAGTCGATTCCGGATGTCGAATCGTGGACCCATTCGTGGCGTATACGCAATTTATTGTTGCATTTAATGGGCAGCCCATGCGGTTGTCCTTGTTGCTGCTTTAGTGCTTAACACTTTTATTGTGTATACGCAGTGTATTATGAGTCTAAATGCTATTTGTATGCAAATAACGAGTCTTCGCTCTGGCAACGTCTACGACAACAACAACATTGGCAACCACAAAAACAACCATCAAACTGACTGCACCACATGTGACGGTGGGTGGCTGGGTGGTGGTGCGTGGCCATCAAATGCCAAATGAAGCCAATAAAAACTAACAACCACTGGCACTAGCGAACAGTTACTGGCAGCTCCACACGCAACTCGATCCGACCACCTGCCAAATGCCGTGAAAAAGGCATGCCGCGGTAACTGATAACATTTTTAATTATGCTCCGCGCATTAACACGTTATAATTACACTTGTTTTATTAAATACAAATTTTGATTCAATTTAAATTAAATGCAGTTTAAAATGCGTGCATTTATTTCATAATTCAAATGAGAGAAAATATTTTTGCATTTTAAGCGATTTATGGCAAAGTAATTAAATGTCAAATGCCGCTAGAGTTTTTTTATTGGAATTATCTGGATCTGAATAATAATAGAAAATTAATTTAAAGAAAACACAACTCTTTGGAATTAAAGCTTTTGAAATGGGTGGAGCATGAAAATGTAATAAAAAATTGTTTTAAAAATTATTTTAATTTTAAAAATGTTTATTCAATTTTAACTTGAGAAAAAAGTAAACTAGATTTTAATTAGATATATATATATGTCAATTATATTAAATAAATTTAAAGAAATCATAAATAATTCGTCGAGGAGACAATAAATAATGAAACAAAAATAATTTTAATGTTAATTTAAAGTGAAATAAATTTCAAATAAAATTATAAAATATAATAATATAAAATTAATTAAACGAAAACATAAGAAAACATAATGAATACTAAATACTATTAATATTTAAAAAAAATTTAATAGTAATAATTGTTTGTTTTTAGTTGAGAAAAATGAATTAACAAATAAAGTTGAAAAATAATGTAAATTTTAATAACTAATATTAAATTTTGTACTTGAGAAAAAATGTTTTAACGAAACTAAAAATATAATAATATTATTTGAAATGAATTATATTTTTTGAACGATATATTCAAGAGCCAATTTAAATAAATTTGTATTCATATATATAAATGTATATTTAAATTTATAACAAAATATGCTTTTATTTAACTGTTAATTTATTTATTTACATGTAAATGGGGCTCGATTAACTAATAACAATTATTATTAAAACTAAAGTTTTTCCGGTTAAATTTTAATATTAATTTTTCTTTAAATTATTTTTTATATTTTTTTGCATCAGCTATAAAGGGACTGAGAGTCCTTATGTTAACAAATAAATAGTTGTAATGCCATAGTTGAGTGCACACGCATTGCCGCGAGACAGGAGTTTAATGACTATTTGCACGCACTGTTAATTTCGGTGTTTTATTTATTTAAATGATGTAAAACGAATATGCGATGTGGGTCAATAATGTGTGTATGGCATGGTTCGTTGAGGCAATCGATTCGACAGTGCAATAACCACGGCCATTCAATTCCAGCCTGCACAATTCACACACACACACACACACCCACTCAGGCACACACGAAATTGGCAGGCGCAGCGCGTAAATTTGAACGAAGCTACAAAAGGTCAACTGCGAGGCCACAGAAGGGAATGCAAAATGAATCTGTGGCATTTGCCACAGCCAGCACATTGCATTGGTTCATTGTATGCATAAATTACGCTGCCATATGTCAGACACTGGCCGAGCTCATCTCAGATTTTTTTCGCCTGCTCGACACGGACATGCGAGACTGCAATTTATGAGGCAGTCAGCAAGGGCTTCTGCCTAATTGCCAAGGCAGAGCACAAGTCGCAACTATGACTTGATTTGATGGAATGTGACAACCATTAGGTATGGCTAATCAATGCTCAATCATCAATCAAACCAAGCTTCGATGTAGACAGTCGCCTTTTGTATGCTCTCCATTTGTTTTGAAATCAATCCAAGTAGTTTTACTTTATTCGTACACAAGTTCTAATACAAATTATACATTTTGCTTCGAGTCTACGTAATAGTGAAAGAAAATCGAAGGATTCGAAAGAGCATGGAGATGCCACACGCGGAGGGGGACAATGACTGGTTGGAAGATGAGCAAGATTTCGTGGACTTCTTCTACGACAACTTTGATGTGGTTGTCAATGGAGACGGAGATTCAGCCGCGGGAGACGCAGGTTGGCCAGTTAAAACGTTCTTTACCAGATTGTAGTCCTATTTGTTCCATACAGTCGATCTCAATCCCGAGGATGAGCAACAGATGAATCGGCAATTGGCAACCATTCCAGAATTGCGTCGGCGGCAAAGGAATCACCTGCTGTCCCCTTACTTCTGTAATGTTTGTCAGGATTACGTTCGTGGCGGGGTTATTACCATTTGTGGGCATCTGTTCTGCTGGACCTGCTTGTGGGCCGATCTGCACAATCGCGTGCTCTCACGTTGTCCGTGCTGCATGCGCCGACTGCTGCTCCACGAGGACATCATCCCCTTTTTGGGCGAGGGACCCAATGCTGGGCCGGACGATGCCAATATCGTGGCCCAGCCTGGGGACGTGGCACGCCCCTCGGGCCTGTATCTCGAGCATCAGCAATATCCCATATGGTTCGCCGTGCACAACTTCGAGGAGCTGCACTTTGCCGGTGCCCACGTGGTCGAGCGAAATCTCGCGATGATCGTGCAGCGAATGTACATCGAATACCGCCAGTCGATGACGTGGATCAAGTATCTGCAGTGGTTCCAGCTGGGCTGCGCCGTTTTCATCTTTTACTTCTGGACGCACATATTGTCCCAATCGGACTAGTAATACGGATAAGACGCCTCGTCCTGCATCAAATAGCTCAACTCGTTAAATGGGTTCAGCTTGTAGCCGGACGAAAATACTTCATAAATTCAAATTGTTGTGCGATTTCTATAAGTTGCTCAAAATATTGTTATCTTTTGTTAAACTAACTATTTTATGCAATGTGTTAGTATGAAGTGGATGGGAGCAGCAACCCGCTGACCCCTAAAATAAAAGGGGTTATCGGCTTAAGGATTGAAGCAATTGCAATTGGGGGTAACTAAAATTAAGAGAGAGAAATACATATATAAAGGCAGTTAGAGAAGATAGATGGAGAGAAGATGAGAGTAATCGTGAGAGTGTGGTAAGAGAACTGATAATACATTTATTTGCAGACAGAAGATACTCAATGCACTTTCACTTTCAGCTTAAGAGAAGCAAATTGAGTTACCCTCAGTTGGGCAGCTGCTAACAGGCTGTGTAATTAGTCGCTTATCCCTTCGAATGACGTTGGCGGTTAACAATTAATATGCGGCTGGTGGCGCTGGTGGCGCCCACCATTTGTCATGCCAGTGTGAATCCTTTTGGAGGCGACTCAATCCGTCTGATGTCTGACGGCATCGCATGTGCTCCCAGTGCGATATTTATCATTAATTATAGGAATGCTATAAAATCCTTGTTGCCGGCCAGCGCAAAGTCACTCGACGAAGGCTGCGTCCGGTGAGGCTGTTTTTTGCTTTCATTATTGCAGCTTAAATGTGCATGTGTGTGTGGGAGGTGTAAGGTGTAAAGTGTGTGTGCTTGTGTATAAAATGCATTAAAAATGAGCACTTGCCCAGGCTGCGGCTTTGGCGCTGCTGATTGACGACTTTTAAATTCCATTAAATTTATCGAAACTTAAGCCCCAGCACCGACCATACGCCGCCTCCCCCAATGGCAGCCACACGTTAGTGGGCGTGTCTATCCTTATGCTCTGCTAAAAGTTTTCATAAAGGGTGCAAATTGGTTTATCTTTAAGTTTGCTCGGCTGACGCTTTCAGGTGGGCTTCATAACTTATGCGATAATAATAAAGTTTTTAAGACTTTAAAACAAATTTGCAAATGGCTTTTATGAATGAAAATACTTTATATATATATATATATATATATATATATATATATAGAAGATCTTGTGTCTTTTTTATATGCATTATTAGTTTGTTTGCTTCAATAATGTAATATATATACTGAGCGCTGTCATCAGTATTGCTGCATCCAAAACCCACTTTTTCTCGCTGCAATACTTTTTTATAGCAGAGTCAGACTCTTTTCCAAGCAGCTTTGTCTTTACACATTAGCTTCATTATAGTCTCTACTTTGACTTCACCGATAGTTTCTGCCATGTCGCTTCTTACTTTCATCCAGCTTTTGCAGTTGAAGAGAAAGTGCTCTGTGTCGTCTTCTGCACGTTTTTCCCGGAATTTTTTTCGAAAGTTCACATGACAAGAAAGCATTTGTGTCCAAAAAAGGCATCTTACTATTAAGTCACTGCTATACTTTTTTTTCTGTACCTCCTTTAACTGTACCTTCTTTCTGTACCTCTCGTGCGACCATTTTGCCTATAGTCCGCTGTCGCAGCTCGTTTGGCAACTGCGCTGAAAAGTCTCAATATTGCTGGAAATCTATTGCGTTTATCCACGTTTTATATATATAAGTGCTACAATTATTGAGGTCTCAATTGAGTGAGTGAGTGAGTGATATAATCTTAGTTAGACAAATAATAATTAGCCAACTTATTGATAAGTCACTCAATAGCCAAGACTTTTGCAGTACAAATTAGATATTCAAGCAGTTTTGGCAACTTCAACTTAAAATTTAAGCAGTCAATTCGAAAATTAAGAGAGCTCGTCTCCACTATCAACAGCAGCAATACGAACAGCAACAGCAGCAGTGGCAGCAGTGGCAGCAGTGGCAGCAGTGGCAGCAGCAAACGTCATTAAAATCTTCCGCTGACTGCACAACAAAGCGCAGGCAAATTGCTTTGCCAGAAGCGGGGAGCAGTAGTGTGTATTAAGGTGTATGCGTGTGTGTGTGTGTGTGTCTATGTGAGTATGTTTGGCAATTTTTAAGTCGAAAATTACATGAGCTTTGACAGCCATTTTTGCCTAAGTTATGCAGTTTGGCAACGTGACGTATGCGTAATTACAGTCAAAGTTGCCCCGCTTGACTGCTGGGCTGCTGCAGCGTCTAGGGGGCTGGCAGAACTATCATGCAACATCTTGTCGCATTCACCAGACCATTTGCCATAGCCAATGGCACGCCCAGTTCCATGGGAAGCGACAGCAGCAGCTAAAGCTGTCAACTGCAACATTTTGACTTTGGCAGCTGCAGTAATTTTCATTTCAATTATAGCATCTCTCGACATTTTGCAAATGGCATTGGGCGGAGGGGGCAACTGGAAGCGGATGGACCGTATGGCAGCTGGCTGGCTGGCTGGCACAACGGTAAATGTGGCCTTTATGCATTACATAATTACAGTTGTGTTTGCATTGCGCCACAGAGCCACCAGGGGCGGTTTCCTATGCTGACTACCTCTAATGATGAGCCATTGTCTGCCTCAGTTATGAAGCACGGGGCCAAGCGGAGGCGGGGCGGGGCTGCTGCTAACTGTAATTAGATCTGTTAAGTGTGATAGCAAGCATTATACTTTGTATACGAGCTTATTTGATTTGCAGTTCTATGACAACTTGTTGCCAATAGTCTGCGAACATCTTTAAAGTTTTTGTTTTATTTCCATAGATAAAAATTCATTGACAGCTACTTCATTCTCGTATTCTCGTCTGGCCATGTCCTGCACTGTGCTGTGGCATTTGTGCAGATGCCATGCACTATGCACGCTTCCGTTTCCGCTTTTTAGGCATTTGCAGGCGTTGCAATTGTCGCTTGTCGCTTGTCGCTTGTCGCTTGTCTGCTGTCTCCTGTCGCTTGTCTCTTGCTGCACCGTGCGGGTGTTAAAGTCTGGTGCACATGGCGTATACATTATGCATAACTAATGGCCGCTCCAGTATATATTGTTTAATTTATCAGACATGCATTATTTATGCATCTGTGTGAGTGCAATGCACAAAGTGCCCAATGAAACTTGCAACTTGAACTGTGAGCTGCAGCAATTCTCTCCAATTTCTGGCTTGAAATCAAATTTATAGTCGAAATTGTTGCTGTTTCTGTTGCTGTTGCTGCTGCCATTTGGCAATAATAAATTGCATTGAGTTCTACTCGAGTGGCGCTGCGCAATTTCAATTAAATTGCGTTATGCAGGTGTTAAGTGCTTTAATTTAGATTTGCCTTGCCTCATGCAAACAAATGTGGCTAACGAGCAGCCGCAAGAGTCTATAAACTTGCTGCTTGATAATTGCTGTGGCAAAAGGCAAGCGAGCAAAAGTTGTTGCCTCAAATGGCAAAAAACAGAACCTCCGGCAGCAGCAGCAGCCAGTGGAGCAGCCCGTGGCTATGGGAGTCGCAGGAGCCGAAGAAATGCAATAGGTTGTGTCGACACAATGTACGTCTGAGCAAGAAAATACAAAAGAATTGTGCCACAATGCATGCCACACACTCACACACTTGGCTAACGAGCTGCGGCTGAGTATATCATTCAAAACATGCAAACCTGACACACACACGCCCACACCCACGCACACCAAGCCGGAGCTCTCAACTCTCGGCGCTCAGCTCACATTTCTGGGCACAGAGCTGACACCTTAGAGCGGCCAGCCGGCTCACTTTAAGCCATATTGTGTATAGATAACGTGTCTATTCAGACGAAAACTGATATGACGACAAAAACAGATGCAAAAGCCAGCAGCGAGGGGCTGCCTAGATGGCGATGCGAGAGGGAGCAGCTGGCAAAACTATGACGTTGACAATGACGTCGAGTCGCATCCTTGTAAGTACTAGTTGAGTAACAAGTTGGCTCAAATGCGGAAGCTAAAATAAAAGTAAAAGAAAAAAATATGGCAACTAAAGAATAATCAAGAAGCAGTATAATCGACCAATTGATGCCCTGGATATGATTCTTAATTTGAAATAGCTTAACTACAAATATTTTCAGGGAAAGGGCTAGGGGGAGGCGATGCTAGGATGTATATAACTGAATATTCATACAACATTTTACAGCTCAATATCGTAAAAGGCTGTGTTTGATGACATCGATATTTATCAATTTGCACTTAATAAGTATGACACAGTCCAACTAATACTACTACTAGTCGCTATGAGTAATAATATATAATATTGGATAGGCTTTACAATAATCGATTTAATTCAAATATAATAATATAAAATAATCGATAAATATCTATACTTGTAAACAATATGTACAGCATGCAAGTGAATCGATATTTATCGATATTTTGTAATATTGTTAAATATATATTGAATCGATATTAAGCCCAGCAAGTAAATGTATCGATATTTATCGATATTTATATAATATTAAAAGTATTTAAATATTTTTAAATTTACGTGTGCCTCCATCTGTAGTCGCGCAATCGGTATATACCCTTTCTAAGCCAACGTACGCTGGGTATTCAAAAAAGGAATACTGTTGCACGCTTGTATGCAAGACGGACCCTACCGTTATGGATACAACAGCGAGCGAGTCTAGGAGTCAGCAGCGTAACTTGACGCTTATCACCGCAAAAGTTTTTGTCACTTTGCAGAGCTGGGCCACGGCGTTGACAGCGCTTAAACTTTGCAGTCAGCGAGCATTGCTTTAAAATTAAAAAAATTTTTGCAAATAGTGTGAGAGAACCTTAGTTGCTGTTGCTGCGGCTCTGCCAAACTTGACTGCCTCAATTGGCAATGTGGCTAATGACAGGACCAGCTGTCAGGGCCAATGTGCAGCCTAATGCTCCGCAATTAGCCGCCAGTCAACGCAGTTCGTGTTATCCAATTAAAACTGCTCCGCGCAACAGTCAATGGCTGCCCGCATACGCACGCACCCGAGGACAATGCAAACTCTGAGCTACAACATGGCCGTCGGCCATGGCCAAAAGTCGTTGCACAGCATGCATTAGCCATGGCCAGTGAGCCCAGCCCCACAACAGTTAAGCAGACACGCAGGCAATTGCGGCTTGAAAATAGGCAAATAATACCGGAGCAAACGTTGCACACTTAACAGCAACATATGCTACATATATATATATAGATTCTGGTCTAAAGCTTGCATTACCTTTAATATCTTGCATTACCTTAATATCTTATGTATATATATATTTATATATACTTCAACTCTTTTTGGGCAGCTGCTGCTCGTGATTTACCAACTCGACCTTTAATGGCCAAAAAAAATTTGCTGGGTCAACTTTTCGTTTTTTGCGCATTTAAATCAAGCGACGGGCGTCTGGTCTATTGTCTCACTTTTTCGTACTCCCCAGGGTGTCTGCGAGAGCTTTTTAACTTTTAATCCATCAAAATGGGCATCATTGTCACAGGCAATGAGTATAAAATGTTTTGAGCAGCAAAAGAGAAGGCGAAGGGCTTGAGAGAGACACAGAGATTGCCTGCCTAAAAATACCCTGTATTTAATCAATAATAAAACAAGCAGCAACTTGTTGTTAAAGAAGTAGTCAAAAACAAAAATATAGTTATAAATCAATTTTCACAGACTTTTGCCTAAAAATATGCAAAAAAAAAGAAACAGAAACTAATTTGCACCTTAAATGTTTAAGATTACAGATTAAAGAGTACTCAAAGACTCATCTTAAATTGATTTACAAATGGAATACATAAAAGTAAAAGTTATCGATAAATACATCAACCCTAAAAAGGTCTCACTCCACCTGAATTTGCGCCCACAGGTAGACAGCTAAAAAGAGAAATGAACTTTCGCGAGAAAATATTTATATTTTTATGAGTTTATCAGACTTCGCTCAATATTCAGTCTACAATATTACAATTCTTTTTTGCTGTAGGTGCACAGGGTATGAAAAAATATTTAAAAGCCAAATGCAATGCATTTCGCAAATGGCAGACAGCAGCAATAGCACAGGAGACAGACAATCGTTTGTCTATCAGTCTGGCACGCTGTCTGTCCGGCAGGCTGGCTGTCTGTCATCGATTGCTGAAAGCATTTCATTATACTTCGCATTTCGCAATTTGCCTGCCCCAGGGGGCAAGAGCAACAGCGGAATTCGTGGCCATTGCCGTGGAAAATGTTTTCTGTTTTCGTTTTTTCTTTTCTTTTTGCATTTGTTATTGTTGCCGTCTAAAAACGTTATAAATCTGCGCGTAATTGTGTTAAGTTCTTGACAGGCATTGCCTTTTCCGAGTAAATTGTATAATAATTTATTTTAATTGGCAAAAGCCAAACGCAGCCAGAAGATAAACAAACTCGGGGATGTTACAGACTCGCTGAAAGCTAGACATCAAATTACAGAGCTCCGATGCGGTTTTCATTAGTCTAATTGTAACTATTGCAGAGGGAACGATGGCAGCACAGACCTAGAGGGCTGAGGGCTATGTGAGCAGTCGTTAAGCGAATGCCTGCATCCCTCAGTGATTAGCCCTACCTTTTGGCCAAAAAGGTCGAAACACAAAAGCCCACACGAAACGATGCGTGACAGTGTTAAATTGTGTGTGTGTGTGCGTGCGTGTGTGTGTGTGTAGCTTTTAATTAGAGGCAACTAAAGAGGCTCCGCCTTCTAGCCTAATGCACAAACATTAACATATGAACGATAGCTAAAATGGGCTTCTGTATGATACACGTGTTTACTGAAGCCAACTACAAGGTAAGCTAACTTGGCCAATGCTTCCAACTTGACTTCCAACTGGAATTTACTGCCAGCAGGCAGTGTGCCAGCGCATAAACAAACTAACAACTAAACCTGTCCCAGAACTTTGCTTGAGTGTAGTTTTGTGTGACCCTCGAGTTCAGTTTCACAGATCAACTCGAAGGTAAGGCACATTAACTAAGTTCCAAGTTTTATACGAACTCCTGCCCCAGATAGAAAGTAAACACTGATTATATATACAGCACTCAGAGCAGGCTCTTAACAGATGTCTTGGCTATTTATCGTCGACTGCGGCCACTCGCAGCTGCAACAGCAATTCCAAATGCAAAAATCTTCAATATGAAAACTAACAGCAAACTTTTGCTCTCTATGTCAAGTATTTAAAAACATTTTGCTTTCACAAAGGGCATACAGAAGAAGAAATAACAAGCTTCAGTTTGTATAACATTTTAAATAGATTTTATATATATATTACTAGGCAAGAGATGTGTATACAGATGATATATGCAGTCGGCTTGATGTTTAAATGTTAAAATACAGCAGAGATCAAGGTAGCTTTAAGAGTGTAGACTAACTAGCTAAGATATAGCCTACTTAGATGATTTCATATGTGGAATCAGTCAATTCTATACACATTACAAAGTTTTCTCTATATTCATAATACATCATTAACATCATCATCCCAAGATACATCTCAAAGTTGACTTTCAATTTCATAAATAATACAAATAACGTCTCGAAATGTTTATATTTACTTCAGTTTATGTTTAGGCTTCTGATGATTCACTCCAAACACAAATAACTTTATTTTAAGATGCAATAAAAAAAACTTTCTACGTCATTTAGAAAAGAATCTTCAGCTTCTAACGCCATTCACACAAATGGGAATGATTACGTGTTGCTCGTTTGTGGCTGACAACCGTAATGGAGATATCAACGCACACGTGTTCACTGTACAGGGTGCGACTGGACCCAGCTAATCGACAGTTGCAATTTCTGTGGCTGAGCTTTGATTAGGTACAATAATAGTGCTGATTGCCTCTACTGATTGGCCAGCACTTCCTGGGCCCAAGCAAATGATGTAAATTTGATGAATTTCAAATAAACGTGTGTGTATGTGTGTGTATATGCATGTAAATCGAGTCAAATGAAACTAGCAGCCGGTCAGGTGGCTTCTGCCCTGCCACTCCTGCCCCACTGGCCCCACAGCGAAGGGTAGCTTTTGGCTTATTTTGCAATTTTCCGGGTCATGAAGTTGACTTTTGAAATTTACTGCTGGCTTTTATATGCGCTTAAACGAGAGATCGAAGTGAAACATTTGCATTTTTATATGATTTGTGTTGCCTCTCGTACTACATATGCTCGCAAAACAGACCCCAAAAAGATTTATGGTAAAATGCGAGGCGCGAAGTTTACACTTTTTACCTGAAATCTTTACTTTCAAGCCAAAGCAAACGCAACTTTAAGTCCACAGAATACGCTAAAAAGATTTCAATTAGATGTGAAACTTCTGAGAACCACATGAAATTATAGGTGTTACTCATAGACTTAACGCTATCAGTTGTTAGCTGCTTAAGATTACCGCTTCTCAGTAGCTCAGGTGGAATACGTCTTGGAGAACTGTTGTGTGACTAATGCACGGCAATGGGTAAATATCATCCCGGATTTCATTAACTGCATTTGCAAGTTCAGTGGATCATTAAGATATGAAGAGAAAGCAAATATTTTGATGACACCTGAAAATTTCTTATCTTTGCTTACGAAATGTCCAACGGGCAGATTAAGCAGGGTATGCCCAGCTGTGCACTGAAGACTGTAGATATGTAAATAAAGTCTTAAGACTATGTTTTTATAACTCAAATAGAAATGTATTTGCTAGGCAAGCAGTTGAGAACTGTCGACTTCTGGCGAATGACTTATCAACTTTTATTTATTTAAAGCACGCGTTGAGAAAGAAATTATATTTTTGTGAATTAACAGAATATGACCGAGCTTAGGGAGAGTTTGTATTTTGCTAACAATTTTTAATTGCATTTTTTATTTATGAACTCGAAATGCTGCTAAATCTTTACTCATTATATGAACATTTACCAACAGCTCAGGGAGGTTCTATAGGTTAAGACCCTGTGCTACAAATTTGTGGCGCTTGTTAATTAAATCAAGCTCTGCTATAGCTTAGTTTTAAGGTAATCCTATTCCTTAGCTGCACACTTTCATTAAGATACATAGAGGAGCCACAGGCTGCTGAGCCTGCAGATATATTGCTCAACCTCTACGGATTTTCCCAACATTTATATATCATACATTTCCATTCAATCTGCATTTTAAGAGTGTTAAGAGTGAAGACAGCCTTGATAAATTAAGTGAGTTAAAAAATGCAAAGTATAGTTAACTGTTTCAGCTGCTTGCCCAACAGGTTCTGCTGATAGATGTCAAGTAATCGTTGTTTTTTGTAAATAATTTAAATATTATGAAATACCCTTCGATATTATCTTAACGTCTCATTGACTGGTAGTCATGATTATGCCTAGACTGACTGATCTTTCAGCTTATACTTCTGATCAAGAATTTATGTTTATATTACAAACATTTTGCTAAATATATTAGATCTCGACTTCCCATTTTCAATGGGTTCTGGGCAAAAAGACGCACTTAATTTCTGTGTTTCGCCTCAGTTTCTTAGGTAATTAAATTTCTGCTCCAACTTTCACTCTAACTGGATATTTACATAAATTATATGAATATAGTTCCACGATTGCAGTTCATTAAGTTTAATAGTTTTTGAGTAAAGAATTTTATATAAAAATATAGCAGATAAATATTATAAATTGCATAGATTTTTGAGCACAGTCCTTAATCACATCACATTTCACATTTGCTTTACAGATGACTTTTGAGACTCTTGCGGGAGAGCTGAGCATAGATGGTTCCATGTGGCTTGTCGATCGGTATGAAGACCTCATTGTTCTCGCCTGGCACCAGGTTTTGAAAAGGCTTCGTATCGAAATTGAAGTAGTGCTTGTTGGGCATGGTCATTGAGATGACAGACACTTGTGGCAGCACATCGAGCACCTGCTTCTCGCTGAGATACAGCGTATGCTGCACCGAGGGTGAGGGGATGCCCACGCGAGGATCGCCGGCAAAGTTCCTCAGCACAATATCCTTGACCGTCTGCCAGGCATGCAGAAAATCGACTGACTTCGTGTCTGAGTACTCCCAGGAACACTCCACGACAGTGCTGAAGATGCGATCGTGCTGATCTGCCAGCGTGCGGAACTCGTCGTCCACAAAGTTCACAAATGAAGATTGAGTTGTCTTCAGGACGCGCAGTCCTTTGATGCCACTCATGACAGTCTGCTTGGGATCTGCGGTAAAAAGTTCTTAATGAAAGGGCATCTTCTCTTCGACTATGCCGATGATGTGCCTACCATTCTGTGTCAAAATCACATCGCAGTAATGCATCGCCGTGGGCGTAAAGATGAAGGCGTGGTTGTGCAGCAGCCGATTGCCACTTAATTCCGAATTGTTGTTACCGTTATTATCTTGGCAATTATCATGTCCCATGCGCTGCCATGGATACGCCTCGACATGCACATGGGCCTCCTCCACGTGAGCATACGTCTTTAGAAAATGATTGGCCAAGAGCAAAGCGAACTTTTCGGGACTCTCGATGCCATGTTTTTTGGCCAGCAGATAGACTGTATTCTTCTGGGAATCAGTAGCTACCACATCCGAGTTATTGCCCTGCATATAGTCCTTGTTGCTATAGAGCTTCAGATGTGTGCCCACCTCCAGCTCCTGTATGCTGTGCACTAGACCCTTGCGATTGATGTGCATCACTTTGACAGCATCCTTGCCATATCCCTTGTTGGTAATCTCGTACTGTTGGCTCTGCTCTTTAACCATCGCAGTGGGAAGCTTCAGGCTGCTCAGCTGGCGCAAAGGAGTTGCCAACATGATGATGCGTGTTCAACAGATATTCAATGACTGTTCAACAGTGACAACTGAGCCTATTTATATGTCCGCCACAATCTAATCGCCATACAAATTACAACAGTTGACGCAAATCTCTCGAATCTCACTTTCATCTTAAATATACTCATATTGTAATCTATAGATAAACAACATCTGCTTTATTACCTCTTGCGATATCTGCTTCTGAATGCTCAAATTTGTTTGTTTGCCTGTTAATAACTGTCTTAGCTGATTAAATTGTAACTGATCAAAAAATCTCTTTATAATTGAAAATGAGGTAACTGAAGAGACTTCTTAACAATTATGCTCCAACTAAATATATAAATGTTTATCAACTAATTCTAAAGATAAAATTAACAAATATAAAGCCTTACGACTGGCTGAGAGCTACCCATTGAGCTTCTTCACTTTTGAAGGCAATCTGGTTAGCCCGATTTAGAGCTCAACATCATAGATAAGCATCTATTGTGAAAGAATCAACTTATTTTGTCCTTTAAATTCAAGGAAAAACAGGGGTTATAAAAAGTTGATTAAAACTTCCAAAATGTATTTGAAGAGCTAGAAAAAAGACCAGCATATTAGCTTGAAACGTGAAAAAAATATATACTTCAGACAACTTTATCTCATTGCGATTTTTTCGCACAAAAATGCTTAAGTTCACATGGCGCAGTCTTTAAAACCGAATCGACCAGCCGAAACATTGAGCAGACAACAAACTTTCCGAACTCAAATATTACTAAGAATATTTGAGCATGATTTTCTAGAAAAGCTGTACGCATCTGGAAAGCAATATATTACTAAACTAAGCTTAATCAAAGGCAACAGATATTTTAGAAAATTAGAAATTAGAAAATCTAGATAGTTTATCACTTTAGAAGGACTGCCACACTTTTAATATATTCTTAGCAGTAACAAAGCATAGTCACAATATTTTCTACTCCATATCGCGCATACGACCCGTTGCGCAACACTGAACACAGCTTCCATTATAGTCAAATCAATTAAATTTTCAGCTGGCATATGCTACCGATACTACTTACTAAATATAACATACGCCAGCTGGCATAGCCACGCCCACACATTTTCACATTTTCATTTCCATAATTTTATGCACCCTTCAAACTAATTTTCAGACCATTTCCAGCCACCTCCCTCTCCCCACCAGGGAGAATGTTTTTACAGCTGCCCAATCGCTGTCTACTGCGCTGTCCCTTATTTACTTTTATGGGTTTTTTAGTTTGTTCGAATGACCCTGCTTAGGGTTCAGTGCGCCGAATGCCAATTGCAATTTATTTAAAGAAAATTTTCTTGAAATCTGAATTGAAACTTTAAAGTTGAAAAGAAATTTTTTTCTTTACTATTTCCCATTATCATAAATAATTGAAGAGTTAAAAGCAAATTTCTAGATTTTTTAATTCTAGTTATACATCACACAAAACACTTAGTTTTCGAGTTATTAATTGTAGTATACTTATTATAATTATAATTATTTTGATTGTCATCATAAATATTCTTTCACAACTTGAGCCGTTTGTTTGCCTTGTTCTCAGCGTTGATTGTGTCCAAAGTTGCTGCCATAATTTATTGAAGTTGCCATTAAAAATTACAAACGTTGACAGCAGCACGTTTCATATGACTATGTGTGTGCGTGTGTGTGTGTGTGTGCATGTGTGTATTGCATTATTTATTTACTCGTATAATGGCAATGTGTTGGCTATGTATTTATTTTGTCATACGTGCGCACAACAACAAATATTTACAATTATTTATCATATTTATCAAAGCAAGATTTGAACAGTGCCAACAAAAAGTGTGTTTACGCTCATGCTTTTCGCACGCACAACTCCCCGAAGAGAACGTAGAATCAGAAAAATCTTCAACTGTCAAATGGTAAATAAACCTGTTAAAGATCTTTGAGTTTATTACAGTGCCTGCGCCTGTTCCTGTACCTGTGCCTGTGCCTGTGCCTGGCTGGGTCCTGGCTGGCTGCACACAAATACATTTACATATCCGAGTACATTTGCGCGGCTCGACTCGCGATGAAAACACATGGAAAATTGATTGCTTTACGGCTCATTTTGTGCGCGGCTCGGCTCGACTCGGCTCGTTAACAAATTTATATTCACTTTTCCTTATTTTCCATAAAAAATACATATGTGAGCAGTAAATAACGAATGGCGGCCTGGCTAGAGGTGCGTGTGGCTATATGTGATATTAAGCATGCGACAGATGAGTTATCTATGCCAGCGGTGGCTGTACTTTGAGGTGTGTGCCTCATCATAAACATGTAATAAAACCACACAGACCGTCTTTTCTTAGACGGTCAATTCTTAACGAGTTAAAAGTTGAAGAGTGCAGCTAGACCTTTGCCTACATGCTGATGAAGCTGATATGGTTTTAGGCATGCGACTGATGAGCTATCAATGCCAAGGGTGGCTGTATAACACAGACTGGCTTTTCTTAGTGCCTTAGACAATTCTTAACGAGTTAACACTTCATGAGTGTAGCCATATCTTTGGCTACATGCTGAAACTGATAGCTATAGGGAACACCTGGGTATATGATACTAAGCAGATGAGTTATCTATGCCAAGTGTGGCTATACTTTCAGAAATTTGGATAAAAGGCGTCGCTCTGCGCAGCAACGATCACGTGGGCCAAAAGCGTTATAACGCACACAGCATTATGTAGCATCAAAATTTAACTAAAGTTGTTAACATGTCGGATACAAAACAAAAAAAAAAACATTTTTTTTAATTTAGAAATCTACAGAAATTTGCAGAAATATCTTTTAAAAATCTAAAGTCCATATTCAAGTTTAATATAATATAATAATTTAATTTATATTTAGCTTCTAAAATAAATACAATTAGACATTTAAATCATGTCTGAAATGAGTTAAATTATATGAAAATCTTCTTCGATTTTGGCAGACATAAAATCGCTTAACATTCTGCTTAAACTCATAAATAATAAACACATGCTGATTGCAGATATTGCTCTAATTTAATTCACACATGGATTATCTAATACTCGCACTGAGTGCCTTTGTTCAGTGAGCTGTGCCGCATGCCGGCATAAACTGATATCGCTTGCAGAGGGTTGCATGCCGCATGATACGAAATGAAATTAGATTCAACATTTTCACGCCTTTTTAGTGCCATAGATTTTTTTAGTATTTAGGCTGATGCAACCAAGTCGCACCCAGTGTGAGTTGTTCGCTTCTCAGTGGGGTGGCTAGTTGAGTGGTTGCGTGGGGCAGTTTTAGCATTGCGTGCACTGCGCCATTAATTGCAATGCTCTAAACACATATTTTTTTTGCTCGGCCCGCAACACACCCTGCGAATCCACTTTGTAGTTGAATTTCAATTGCAAAACACACGCAGCTAACTCCAAGCTGCTGTCGGGGGGTGCAACAAATTAGTTCACATGTTCTTTTTTGCGGTTGCGCCCCAAAAAAAAGGAAAGAAGTGAAATGCGTGCCGGCACCATGTGTAGGGCAGACTGCTTGCAGGGGTTGCTGGCTAAAATGATTTAATGGCCATAATGTTAGTTGAATGGTTAATTCACTTACGTTTATGGCCAGCCGCTGTCTTTCGATGGACTCGGATCTGGCCGTGTTGCTGGCCTCCTCTCCAGGGAGCTATCGTCGAAACATATGTCTGACATGGGGCATTGCTGCACTGAGGTTGGCCGGGCCCGATGCGGTTCGCATATGTAATTATTGTCTAGATTTTATTTGTGCACACACATACCTATGTGTATGGGTGTGTGTGTTTGGGTGTGTGCAGGCTGCTTTAATGTGTTTATAACGTATGAGTAATGTGCCTCGTTTGTGGTTCCTTGGGGCTCTTGCTGGTTGATTTGAGAAGCTCTTCTGTTTTTAATTAGATGTGAAAGCCTCGGACGGCTTCAGCTCTAGACGCATTGTCATCAATCTCCAGTGGCATCTGCTGCCTGGCCACGCCTCTTGCCACTTCATTTATTATGCGCCCAGTTCCACGCACATACATAAATATATCTATATATGTATATACCTACTATACTATATAGTAGTTGGCATCTTATGCGCAATTCAGAATTTGAGAGTTCACGCATGTGTGCGACAGCAATAAAAACTTTTTCATTAGTCCAAAGCTTGAGAGCACTTCGCAGAGGTAGCAGCTGCAAACGGAGACTCTGCTTTCAGTGGTACCCAAAATCTTTGAGTGGCACACACATTTTAAAGTCAACGCACAACAGTGACAATTGACAAGTGTGTAGATGTATTTGTGTGTGTGTGTGTGTGTGTGATGTTGTCTTTTGTCTTATTTTGGCTGTAAATGTTGATGTACTAAACGCGAACTGAATGTCAAATTATATATAAATAATTTATGAAGAGTTACGTGCCTCAAAGGACGAGCTACAGCAAAATATTTAAGCGCTTACAAAATTGAGAATTTCCTTTCTCATCAACATTTACTGACTGACAAATAAATTAAAAGAAACTTTAACAGTTTTATCGAAATATTAAATTAAAAGAATAATCAGTAAATTAGATTAAATACGTATTTTTCAAGTTAATTAAGTTTTTTAATTTTTTTTGCAATAATATATTTATTACAATTTTTTTGAAGCTGGAAATGTTAATCGTATTTAAATTTTGTGAATTGGTAAATTAAAATCAAAATTAAAGCATCAAAGATCTTTAAATAAATTGTTTTTATAATATATAAATATTTTAAGAATAATTAACTAATTATAACTTCAACAAATATCAGAAAACTTAACTACATTATTTAAAATATTTTTAATGTGTTTAAAATTTTGTCTTACTTAAAATGTCACAAAAATATTTTAACAAAGATTAAAACAAAAATTATAAATATATTAAATATTATTAAAATAGTAAAATAATGATAAAAACAATATAATTAAAAGCTTATACATTTGTTTGTGTTTAAAAAACGCCATCCATAAAATATTCAAAAATATTTAAAAAATTAACAAATAAGTA